CTTACCTGGTGTCAGAGGCGTAGTCTCGGACACATCCTGACCTTCCGGTTGAGGCGTAGTCTCAACCTACCTGGCGTTTCGGCGCACACCGTCTCCGTCGGCTCCACGAGCCCGGAGAACCAATCGGCCGTTGTCACTGCCACGTCAATAAACAGTCGTTCTCACGACTCAATCGGCCGTTTTTTACGGCCCGGGACATCCTCCAGTACAGACCCCGTGTATATAAACCTCGTAGAGTTAAGTTAATTATAAGACCACCGCGCCGATCTAAACACTGCCGCGATTAAGTTAAGTCCACCGCGCCGATTTAAATACTGCCGCGATCAAGTGAATTATAACTCCGCCGCGCCGAAGTAATCGCCAGCAAACTAATCATACCACCGATAAAACCTAACATAATACGAGCCGCGATTGAAATACCGCCCCACTATAACCCGTGTAAATAACGTTCCCGCTATAATAAGGATACTAAGCTCAATTAAAATATCGTTCCGTTATATCAAATGTAAGAAACTAAAGCTTCGTGAATAAATCACAATACATTTCAGCATTAACCACACGAGTATCGCAATTTTGTTCCTTCCCCTCCTCCTGAACCCTGGAGCCGACCGAGCTGTCCGGCAGGCGGAAGGCCGGGCGAAGCCGATAGAAAATCGGCTCCGTTACATCCTCAAAATAGCGATGTGGGACGACACTATGTTGCTTATTAGCGTCTATATAGTTTAGTGCTATGCACACAAAGTAAGAATAAGGAGACTTAACTAGATAGTATATAGAGAAAAAAGGTGGTCAGTGAAAATGTTCCGTGTAGGAGGAGGTTTGCTAAATAGAATAACTTGCAACATTTTGTCGCCATTTCAAGTCTGTTCTTTTTAGTTAAAGTTGCTGTGCAATATTCATATAGTTTAATCACGTATATCAGTATATTGGCTGCGTTCGAAGAGCGTGCTATCTGTGCTATTGTANTTCTATCTGTTTTACATCTAATGAGAGATAACAATAGAAGAATACAATATNGCAGATAGCGTGCTCCCCGCAAAAGTAAGTATAATTTAATTACATTTTGTAATTGTGTATAATGTTATAGGACTTTGCAGAAAATTAGAATTTGCTGAAGTATAAATGTTTTATTTTTGTAACCTAAAATTGTTTGTTTGTCGATTAATTATTAATATTTAGCTAAGAGCAATATTTATTTTGCTCTAAATAATCAGAATATATTTTCACAATATGTTGAAATATTAATACAAATAATGTTTAACGATATATTATTATTTTTATTGTTTTTTATTTATAAGATAATTTTCAATTTTAATATCTTATCTTCTGTTATAATAGTATAGGTACAAAATTCTGAAAGTAATGGCTTGTTGTATCGAAGAATGTAATTCAAGAGGAGGTAAAAAAGCAGAAAAAAGAAGTTTATTTACACCTCGCACTGTAAGTATTTACATTGGTTTTATGTTGATCATTGTTATGGATGCTTCCCAGCAAAACATAGTGTCAATTAAAGAAAAAGCATATCAGTATGTCTCACTCACACTAGTGGACATTGTGTTACATAGTGTTTTGTTGGAAAGCACTCTATCTAAAAAATAATAATTTTTTCAAGTTTTTTCTTAAGGTCACGAGTATATTACACAAGTATATACTTTACGCGTTTCATTTAAAAATATAATTTTTTTTTTTAGAATGATATGTTTACTTCTTGGTACAATATTATGTGTGATAAAAATATAAAAATAAAGAAAACTAGCAGAATTTGTGAACTACATTTTAAGTCAGAAAATATTATTAGAGAAGTATATTTTTACAAGAAGATGGATCAGTCATTTATGTAAAAAGAAAAGATCCAAAATTAAAAGAAGGAGCGATTCCTTCAATTTTTCCAATCCAAAAAAGTATACCATGTTATCAACAGATAGAATGTGAAAATAATAGTAACGTTATGTCTTCTGAAGAGTTTTTAATTGAATATGAAACTTTGGAAACAGTTACACACTCAGCAGAAGAATCAATTCCATCTACGTCGCATGTAATAAATAAAACATTGCAAACTGATAAACTATTGCAAGAGCCTTTGCAAGTAAAAAGTACATCCTTTGTATCAATGAAAGAAATAGATAAATTTTCTGTTAAAGATATCAATATTGCTAAAAATGTCAAAGTCCCAACAGTTTATTAGTTTGAAAACATTAATAACAGCTGTATGATGTGGACATGTTGAACAAATGATTTGTCAAATATTTTAAGACGTGTTATTATTAAAACAAATATGAAAGTGCAAGTAAATATAATTGAATAAAGTAACAATATTATTTAACATATATGCATATTTACATCTATATTTTATTAAAATGTTAATATGTAAAATAAGTAGTTATTGGAGAAAAAGAAATTTTGTTTATTACAAAAATTATTCATAACATACAAGAAATTGAGCAAATTTTGAAGAAATTAGAACATTTTTTTCTTTGTAAAACAGGTAATAAAAACAGGTTTGTGTATCAAGTTATATTTTTGTGTTTAACAAAAACAATACAGAATAAATAATAAAAATATAATTTTATAAGTTTCAAAATATGTTTTTGTTTATTAATCTAAAATATAGTGTGTTAATACAGAGCTTCTATTACATAAAATTTAATAATTTATTTTACAGGGTTACAAATTGTCACGGTTTTGTAATTAAAAGAATATACAGAGTGGGAGAGACAATGAGATGTGTGGTTTGTAAAAAAAGTTGAAAAAAGTTATTGAGAAAATCGTATAATTTAACATTAATTCAAAAATTAAAAAATAAAAGCGAAAAATTACAAGTATTAAATTTAAATTTTCAACGTCGAGAAAAAAAAGGCTTCGAAATAAAGTATATTTGAAATATGGTTTTTAGAAAATTTTAATTATAATCTTTATTGAAACTTACTTTTTTAAACAATTATGACTTAAGATTCGTGAAATTACCAACAAGATATGTATCAGGCCATACGAGCCATTCTCAAGATGTTTTGAGTAGAAACTTGTACGTGTATATATATACATACACATGGGGTGACACTCTATTGACCACAGTACGATTCGACACCGCTCGATTCGACACAGATTTATTCGACACCAAATTATTCGACACCGTACGATTCGACACGAAAT